ATTTACCTATCCGCTTCAAGCGCAAACCCAACCACAAGCACCAATGGAACAGCAATGCTACTTGAGGTTTGACAATGAACGCCAATTGTGAAACCACAAGGAGGATTGCTATTCAGGTGCTCAAATCTCAAAATCCAGCTTAAAATTTCCTCTTCCGTGATCGACGACCAAAGATCAGATTTTCGAAGATTGAATCAAGCACAGATAAGGAAATGATCATCAGAAACACAGAAGAGCAAAAAACTCAAAAGTCATGTTCCAAGAGAGAAAGGGAGAAACAAAGCACTGAGCAAACAAACCCAAAACACTAAAAGTTAGCTCAAACTGCTGAACTCAACTTTCCCTTTTGATGATCAAGGACAACGACCAGATTTTGCGATAATCAATCAAACGCAAAAATGGAAACAGACCAAGATAGACAGTACACTGCAAAAACAGGAAGAATGAAAAGACCCAAAAGCCCTACTCCAATAGAGAAAAAGTGAAACAAAGCCCTGAGGGTAAAACAGAGAAATACATTCTTTCTGAGGGGTGGAAGGGAAGAGGCCATGAAATGACAAACATGCTCCCCATGACAAGTGAAATAGGAAAACAAAGTTTTAAGGGCAAAAGTGGAAGCCTAATATCAAATGACAAAAAAACCACTCATGACTTGAAAAATAGAGTGAGGAAACTGGAAGGGCAAAAGTGGAAAAATAAAAAATACTGTAGCAATGTGATAGGGGGGCTTTCCTCCGGTTTACTTATTTGACTTATTTGATACTCAAAAAAGTAAAGGTTAATGGCAATGGAGGAGGCTAGAACGGAAATGGGTGTTGATCAAGAGGAGGAAGAAGAGAAGTGGGTAACCCACTATTCATCCAAGCATCAAATTCTCTTAGTCGGCGAAGGAGATTTCTCCTACTCTTCGAGTCTGGCCTCTTCTTCTGGCTCTGCCTCTAACGTTTGTGCTACTTCTCTCGACTCAGAAAGTATAAAGAGATACATCCATATTGATCATTTCTTTCATAATTGTATGCATTCAAGTTTGATGTCTATCAAAGTAAGGGTTTTTAGATAGGATGATCACTCAAGTTTGATGCTTGTCTTCTATTGGTTAACACAATCAATAGGCTTTTGTCATGCTTTTTTTTTTTTTTTTATTGCAAATTTGGGAGTTTGTTTTTATAATGCAGGAAAAGAACCCATCATTAATTTGTGATGATAGGGTTTTTGCTCTTTAGTTTGCGTATTGGCCTTGCTGTTTGGCTAATCAGTTGATGACAATGTTGGTGATGATGCATGTGTTTTTGTTCCTCTTTAATAAGAATCCAATAATTTGATGCAACTTTGTTAAACCCCGAATGCCTTTTATTGCTATGTGTCCCCTAGTTTGATTACATCTCTTAAAACAATGATCGGAATGCTATCAGGAAAAACCATGGTTCATCTAGTAGTATATTTTTTGTATATATTGTCCTTCTTAATTAGTTGGTATTAATGTTCCAGTTACATTAATGAATCTGCTGAGCCTGAGTTTGTTTTGTTTTCTACTTGTTTGTATATGGTATGTCTTCTGATTGAACAGATGATGTCATCAACAACTACAAGAATGGCAAGTCGAATTTGGAAATTTTGAAGAAGCGGGACGCAACCATTTTACACGGAGTTGATGCAACCAAAATGAAGAATCATGATGACTTAAAAAAGTGCAGATTTGATCGAATTATCTTCAACTTCCCTCATTCAGGCTTCCATGGAGATGAACGTGAATACTGGGTGATTCTGTAAGTTCTCAAGTTCATGATGTGTGTATAATTTATTATCATTCTGGTTATTTTTAATGTCCTATGTTGATGATACTGCAAGAAACATAGGACTCTTGTGAGTGGATTCTTCAGCAGTGCAAGCAGAATGCTTCAAGTCAATGGTGAAATACATGTGAACCACAAAATCAAACACCCTTTTTGTTGTTGGAATCTCGAGGAACTGGCTTCTGCAAATTCTCTGGACCTGATTGAGAGTGTTGAGTTCAAAATAGGAGATTCCCTGGTTATAACAATAAGTGAGGGTCTGGTTCAAAATGTGATGAACCCTTCCCCTTGGATTTGTGCAATACCTACAAATTCAGATTTTTGAATAGAGCTAAAAACATACATCGGCAATTGCAAGACTCCCCAGCCCAAATGCAGCTGCAGCCAAACACATCTGCTTTCAATTATAGTTATAGAAAACACATTGCAGCTGTGAATCCCTTTCCACTCCAACC